CATAATCTAAGTAGATTAATACTATCCTAAGCTTTTTTTTCTCATTTAATACTGTTTCTTAATTCAGAAGCGCAAATACAAATGTATTGCACACTTTCTCCTCTTTAAACTTTAAAGACAAGTCAAAAAGCCATTTTTAGAACTAGAGAATTTAAGAGGCTAAGAAATGGGGTTTGTATATATGTATATATGGGACATTTTATCTTCTGGCCAGAAGTCAGAACTTTATAAAAATTTTAGGTCTGTTCACTAATGTGAAATAAGCTGTGTGTCCAGGGTATCACTCTCCAGAATTTGTGAGTGCAGTGTAGTATTCAGAGAATGTGATGAGTTATTCACTGTCCCTATTTTTCTGTAGAAAATAGGGGCTGCTTTTTTAACTGCTCTCAATGTGGGCACTTTACCAAAATACTTCTATATCAGTTACTTAAACTTGATGGGAGGTAGGTGTTTGACCTAATCAGATTTGTGTATATTCACATTTTCTGTTGAATCATGTTGACAGTACTGTAAATTAAGTTATTTTGTAAGTCTTAGAGCATCATTACATTATGCTGTTTGGGATGACATTTGATATAAGCATATAAACTTTTTGTTTAATTTGGTAAGTACCTTGACTCTACACTGAAATACATTGTACTGAGGTGCCCAAACAGAACTCAATTACCCACAAAATCATGCTAAAACAACAGACTGGTCTGATACTTTGTCATATGCTTGTGTGACTCATACACATGTGGAAAAATTAGTATCCTCCAAATTTGAGGATACTACCACACCCCAGCCCTTCCTATAAGGTAATTTACAAAAGAATGTCCTAGAATAGCAAAATTGAAGCTAATGAGAGCTAAGCTTTTAGGATTTATTCTGTCCCAGACTGAACACACATGTGACTTTTACAAACATTGCCATTTTTCGTATAAAGTTTTTGTTAGAGAATTTTCCTTTACTTTTTGTCCTCCTCAGTTATAAACTTGGCATGCTAACCTAAGTCCAATTATGGGAGATGCTGGAGGATTCCCAGGATGAGATGTTCCTCAGCAGCCTTCTGACTTAACTTGGATCCAGCAGCCGTGGGCAGATCCTAAACTGTCATTATAGCAAATAAAACCAAAACCATTTTTGCTTGCTCAAACCTTAGAAACAGTTTGTGTTGAAAAAGCAAACTAATAATAACAACTTAGGCATTCCTTCTGAATTTACCATATGAGAATTATGAATAAAGGATCATTGAATTTAATTGTGATTAGAGTCTATATAGAGCTCTTTAAGTAGTCTTTCATCTGTAAGTCTTTATCCTGTTCAAAATTTGCTGAACTTTTTAAATAGGTGGTTTTCCTCCACATAAAGTACACGGTTCTTCAGGTTCAACAGTTTATTGTGTTTATTCACTTTTGCTTTTGCAAGCATTGTTCCTAACTATAGATACAGCTTGCATTGTTCCTAACTATAGATACAACTTGTTGCAAAAGTGATGCATTTTCCTAAATATTTTTTTAAAGTACAGGTAAACTTTAATCTATTAGAACATTAAAATTCAGAAGGAACAGTGTTAACACTTGGGATATAACAAGAGTGATGTGCTGTGAATCGTTGGATTAAACGACACCTGCTCTAACATACACCTTAATGGAATCTGGTATAGGGACATGCCCTGTAATAAATGTTTCATAACTATCAGGCTTAGATTATAATTAGTAGGTTAGAGGAAAAGCACTTAGGAAGTTTGTTATTTGTAATTTGTCACTATGTGACATTTCCCCCATATCATTCAATTTTAATTTTTCATTGCTGATTGAAAGTACATAAAATTGTATTATTTTATCTTTCTGCTGGGATCAGGGATCTAACTTAACTGGTGTGAGTTGATTTTTGTCACTATATTTTGTTATACTTGGGCTCTGAGTCTCTTTAATCAAAAGTTTCTCATATAAAGTAATTTGGTTGTGTTCTGCTTGGTCATATTCCTAAGTATCATCAAGGAAAATGCTATATTGGCCTCCCACTTGAAGCTTAATAGCCTTTAACTCGGGTGGGGGTGTGGGGAGGATAGGGTCCTAAAGAGGGCCTAGTGGGGTAGTTTGAAAGGAAGATAACAAAACAAGGAAGTAAGTGAAAGAACTCTAAAGGGGTAAAGAGTAGCTGTTATCTCAGATGTCACTGAATGTTTCCCTGTTAAGGGATATACTGTGTATGGCAGCTCTTTGCACCATATGACAGGCTTTCTTGTATCCAACAGGAAAACCTGCAGGCTTCACACAGAATATGTGAATTAAGACTGGAGTGAAGAGGGCAAAGGTTAATAATACCTATAATGAGAATTTATATTTTCCTCTGCCTTGTCTCTTCATACAGAAGCAAGTTTGAACAGAGAGGGTCAACAATTACAGTGCTCAAATTAAAGTTTAGGACCAGGTTATTTTTCATATTTTATGAAACGTGGTAAACGTTAATGTAGTCTTCCAAAATGGACAGCACTATCTAGTAACTGCACTGAATACTGAAATTTGCTGATTGATAAAGTATATATCAGTAGCTAGAATTTCTTCAACTACAGTTTCAGAATTTAAACAGGTAAAAGGTCTGCTTTTTGATAGAGACTTCTTGTAGATGACTATAGTGTTACTATTTGGCTGTTTTTATGTGAGTGCTCAGGGAATTTGGAAGTGTTTGATTTACTGCAGAAGTGGCTTTTTTAGATTTCTTCAATTGAGAGGTAAATTAGCGTTAGGATATTATTGGTTAGAACAGGCCAGTTTCTTGTTGAGATCGGTAAAAGTGTGTATATAAGGTGACAATAGCTTCGTCCTTTTTCCTGTGTTATATGTGGAAAATTGCTAACATTGCTCAATCAGAAGGGAGAAGATAGGCTGAAAATAGAAATTTGCTAATCCATTCCATCATGTTTTCTTGCTTATTTTTTCAAATATTTAGACATTTGAGAAATGGATCACAAACCTCAAAAGGAAGGGATAGAGGAGTTAATGTGTTTATTAGTTAGACCAGCTATTCTGTTAGAGTTTATCCTTGTCACAGGAAACAGGAATTGTGTGATTTGAGTCACTGGGAGAAAGCATGAAGAATTTAGACTCGCCTGGGAAGGTCAGCTGGTAAGGGAAGTGGGAGATTTTCTACTCAGTGTTCTAATAGTACAGAAGAATTACCTAGGGATCCTTTCACTCACCTCTTCCGTGGTCCCAAGATTCTGAATGAATTAGAATCAGAGCAGTGGTGAGTCCCAGTAAAGTTTCTTTTAAAGTTCTAATGGCACTTGAAAATAAGTATTGTGTTGAACATGAGGAGTGACACTAAAATTTTAACATAGCTATTGCTTTGTTGCAACTACATATGGTAGATCTACTTAATTATGTTTTGAGAATTTTAAGAATACTATGAAAGGTTCACATAAAGCAACTTAAACACCTGATGAAAATCAAGGGTTTAATTAAGCTTTCAGATCGATAATGAATTACATTGAGCTGTTTGCTTCATATAGCTATCTGATTCTATCTTGTAAGACATTCTACAAGGGGTTGAAACATTTACATTTTGGAATCTTTGTGTTTTCACAATCAGTGTGGCTAAGGAGGAACTTGGAAAATAATACTAATTAGCTATTCCACTGCACTTTTTGTATACGAACTTTCTAAAGTTGTGCCCCTTAAACCATTTATTTACATGAACCTAGCAAATATTGGAGGTGTGTTCAGGGCCACTGACTTGCACAGTCCATAGGACACTATTTACATAGAACACAACTCAGAGTGAGTTAGACACCTACACACTTTGATACAGATTTCAAAAATTCAAATATTTTTCTTAATGTAAGTTCACATGCTGCCATTTAGACACAGTGTGCTGTGATCATTTCACCACTATTCAGTTGATGTTGCCTAGCCTGGTGCTGTCATTTTACAGTGTGAGAAATTCAGTTCTGATGACTGTGTGCGCAAGATGTTGATGTGATCCCTGTAAGAAATAATAGGGTTGGTCTTGATTTACTGAGGAGATGTAATATTTTATTTTCCTTTGACTTGTTAGGAATACGGCAACTTGCGTCCTGATTTGTTGCACATCATATTTTTGCAACGTTAATGAATTTAAATAAATTAATTGGAAAGTTTGTTTTTGACTCATTTTTATCACATTTTTTGTCTTCCGTTATGCCACTAAGTTTTTACACTGAATTATCTCATAAGCCTTTCAAATAGTTTTAGACCTTTTGTTTCTCTTTCTGTAGTCGGGTGCTACTTCCTATTCTTCAGGGGAGTGAAGTGTCCATCCTGCTTTAATTTTAAACATTACCTTAATTATTACACTTTGTATTTCATAGTTTAGAATCATTTTAGTAGTGGGGAATCCAACAAAATCAATAAGTGGCAGAGATTCCACTTAGTAACACGTATTTACTCCTTAATCACTGTTCAGCTACTTAATGGCAAACAGCTGTACACATATTGCTGCCTTTAATCCACATTTAGGATACCATTTGGATTTATATAAACTCAATATATATTGAAGTGTTTGTCTTCCATTAGCTACAAATTTTAAATACAAATTTTCCCACATTAAAATTCTTCAGGAATCACAAGAGCTTGCTGGGCTAAGTGAATTGCAGCCCTACTTTGAATGGTAAAGAAATCCTGCTCTAATCTTCAGAATTTGTCTTCAATTTAGTATTGCAGGGTCTTCAACAGCATTACCCAGAACACACTTTAGGCATAAAATGTGACTGCCCTAACATTCCTAATTGTGTAACAGTGGATAAGATTAATCTCTCAAAATTACAATTCCCTTATGAATGATTTAGTAAACCTGGTGAATTACTCGGAAAGGAAGCCAGTCGGCGAGTCTAGGGCTTGAAAGCTGCTGGCCCCACGCCCCTCCTCCCTCCGCACCCCGCCCTGCCCTGGCAAGTCTTGAGTGGCGTGTGGGAGCAGGGGCTGGGCGGGGCCTCCCGGCCCACCCGCGTACTGTCATTTCCAGGTTCGGCGAGCACTTCCGGGTCGTGGGCGCAGCTCTGCGGCTCCTGCGGCGGCCGAAGAGGTGGTCGGGAAGTAGGTGCTTCCTGCTGGGCTGCTCGCTCCTCCGCTTCTGTCCGCTCCGCGGCGGGAAGCGCCTTCCCCACAGGTACTTGGTGAGCCGGGCCCGCGCTCCCTGTGTCCCAGAGGTGGGGCTGCGGTCAGTTGGGTCTTCGAGGGCTGCGCAGAGGGCAGGGGCTCAAGGTGGGCCCGTTACCGACTTCGCTGCGGGGATGGCCCCGTGGCCGGTACCCGCGAATGAAAAGTGCGGGAGGCGGCGGGAGGCGGTTGCGTCCTCTGGCGGGAGGTTTGTGGTCCACGGCGCGCCAGCCGAACGGTCCTGGGGGAGGTCCTCAGCCCAGCGCGGTATTTTTAGCCAGGTGAATGTCTTTACGCATCCAGGGTTGTGTTGTGTTGTGTTGTGTTGTTTTGGCCGAATATCAGGGGAGCGCATTCCGTAAGTGTCTCATTCCTATGCCTCTTCGCTTATTTGAAGTCTGCCTTAAACTTCAAGCCAGCTCCCACAGGGTAATGAATTTAAACAGGACTAGGACTACTGAGTTAATTCCGAATGTGGAACCCTTGTAATTTTCTAAACCGTAGAATGAACGAGCACGAAATTGACGCGGCGGATACCAGATCTAACAGATTTGAACATTTCATAAGGAATTTTTAAGAATCCAAGGTCTAAAGTCATTAAAGCAAGTAACTTGAACAAATTTTTAAATAACTTAGAGCTATTTTTTAAATTAGTATTTATTTACTGAGGTATAATTGACACATTAGTTTCAGGTTGGTGTTTTCGTTTTCTTCAGATAAATAGAAGCGGAATTGCTGGATCATTTGGTAGTTCTATTTTTAATTTTTTGAGGAACCTCCATACTGTTTTCCACAGTGTCTTCAGCAGTTTGCATTCCCGCCAACAGTGCACAAGGGTCCCATTTTCTCTACCTTCTCGCCAGCACTTATCTCCTGTCCTCTTGATAATAATAGCCATTACAACAGGTGTGAAGTGATATCGCATTGTGGTTTTAATTTGCATTTCCCTGATGATTCGTGGTGTTAAACATCTTTTCATCTGTCTGTTGTTGATCTGTATGTGTTCTTTGGAAAAATGTCCATTTGGATCTTCTGCCCATTTTTTAATCGGCTTGTTTACTGTTGAGTTGTATGAATTCTTTATGTATTTTGGGTATTAGCTTCTTATTAGATACATCATTTGCAAATAGTTTCTCCCATTCAGGGTTCCTTTGTTTTTGTTTTTTATGAACAACTATGTTTATTATCACTTTGAACCTCTTTATTTGGCTCTATGCCTTGTGTTCAACATTCCAGTTTCACCTGATCTCTCACTTTAATATTTAACTCATATTGTGTATTTAGCATATATCTAAAAGTCAATATTTTGAATGATTCAAACTTCGTTTCCCCCAACCCCTGCAACTACCTATCTGTTCTTTGAATCTACACGCTTGTTTTGTTTTTGTTTTTTTCCTTTTTGGTTTTCAATTCCACATGTATCCAATATCATACGGTATATGCCTTTCTCTTTCTCACTTAACTTCATTTAATGATAATGCCCATGGTGTCTGTTCCTGTTATAAATGGCAAGATTTCATTCTTTTTATGGCTGAATAATATTCCATTGTAATATGGAATTACATATTACAATTCCATATTGTAATTGGATTACGATTACAGTTGTAATTGTACCACAGTTTATCCATTTTCTTTATCCATTGATGGACACTTAGGTTGCATATCTTTTGAGTTAGTGTTTTCATTTTGGGGGGGCTACCCAGTAGTGGAATTGCTGTATCATATGGTAGTTATGTTTTTAATTTTTTGAAGAACCTCCACACTGTTTTCCATAGTGGCTTTACCAATTTACATTCCCACCAGTAGTGCATAAGGGTTCCCTTTTCTCCACATCCTCACCAACGCTTGTTATTTCTTGTCTTTTTGATAATAGCCATCCTAACAGATGTGAGGTGATACCTCATTGTGGTTTTGATTTGCATTTCCCTGATGATTAGTGATGTTGAGCATCTTTTCATGTGTCTGTTGGCCATCTGTATGTCTTCTTTGGAAAAATGTCTTTTCAGATCTGCCAATTTTTAAATTGAGTTATTCTTTTGCTGTTGAATTGTGTGAATTATATATTTTGGATATTAATTTCTTATATGATTTGCAAATATTTTCTTCCATTCAGTAGGTTGCCTTTTTGTTTTGTTGGTTTTCTTTGCTGTGCAGAAGCTTTTTAGTATGAGATAGTCCCACTTTTGTATTTTTGCTTTTTTTGATTTTGCTTCTGGTGTCAAATTAAAAAAATCATAGCACCCATGTCAGGGAACTTACTGTAGCTGTGTTTTCTTTTGGAGTTTTATAGTTTCAGGTTTTACATTCAAGTCTTTGACCTGTTTTGAGTTGATTATTGTGCATAGTGTGTAAGTTTGTCCAGTTTAATTCTTCTGCATGTGTTTGTGCAGTTTTCTCAACATCATTTATTGGAGATACTGTCCTTTTCCCCATCAGATGGTCTTGACTTCTTTGTTGTAAATTCATTGAGCATCTGCATGGGTTCATTATGGGCTATTATGTTCTGTTGATGTGTGTGTCTGTTTTATGCCAGTATTATACTGTTTTGATTACTCTAGCTTTGTACTTTTGTGGGATCAGGGAGCATGATTCCTCCAGCTTTGTTCTTTCTCAAGATCGCTTTGGCTATTGGAGGTTTGGTGGTTCCATACAAATTTTAGGATTGTTCTGTGTCTTTGAAAAATGCCGTTGGAATTTTGATAGGGATTGCATTGAATCTGTAAATTGCTTTGGGTAGTAAGGACATGTTAATAATATTAATTCTTCTAATCCATGAACATGGAATGTCTTTCCATTTATTTTGTCTTCTTCAGTTTCTCATTAATGTTTTGTAGTTTTCAACATACCGGTCTCTCACCTCCTTGCTTAAATTTCTTTCTAGGTATTTTGTTCCTTTTGATGCAGTTGCAAATGTGATTATTTTATTTCTGTGATAATTTGTTATTTTACTTTTTTCTTTCCAGTTTGGATGGCTTTTATTTCTATTTCTTGCCTAATTGTTCTGGAAGTACTTCCAGTACTTTGTCGAATATAATAGGGCAAGAGTCCTGTCTTGTTTGTGATCTCAGAGGAAAGGCTTTCAGCTTATCGCTATTGACTGTGATGTTAGCTATGGGCTTGTCCTCTGTGGACTTTATTATGTTGAGGTATGTTCCCTCTAAATCCACTTTGTTTAGAGTTATCATAAATGAATGTTGAATTTTGTCAGATGCTTTTTCTGCATGTATTGAGATGATCATATGATTTTTATCCTTCATTTTGTTAATATGGTGTATCATATTGGCAGATTGAGACTGTTGAACCATTCTTCTATCCTTCGAATAAATCCCCCTTGATCATGGTGTATGATCCTTTTAATGTATTGTTAAAATCAGTTTCCTAATATTTATTGAGGATTTTTGCATGTATATTCATCAGGGAAGTTGGCCTGCAATTTTTTTTTCTTGTGGCATTCTTGTCTGGTTTTGGTTTCAGGGTAATACTGGACTCTTAAAATGAGTTTGGAAAAGTTTATTACTCTTCTATTTTTATTTTAAAGATTTATTTATTTATTTGAGAGAGAGCACGAGACTAAGTGCCCAAGTTGGGGGAGGGGCAGAGGGAGAGAATCTTCAAGCAGACTCCCCGCTGAGTGAGGAGCCCAGTGCAGGGCTCAATCCCGTGACCCTCCTCTTCTATTTTTTGAAAGAGTTTGGGAACTGGTACTAATTCTTCTTTGAATGTTAGGTAGAATTTATCAGTGAAGCCATCTGATCCTGGACTTCTGTTTGTTGAGAAGTTTTTGTTTACTGATTAAATCTCTTTATGAGTAATCGGTGTATTCAGATTTTCTATTTCATCATTATTCAGTTCTGTGTTTTAAGGAATTAATTTCTTCTAGCTTGTCTAGTTTGTTGGCATGTAATTGTTCACAGCAGTCTCTTAAGATCCTTTCTATTTCTGTGATGTCAGTTGTAACATCTTTTTCATTTCTGGTTTATTTATTTGAATTTTTTTCCAGGTGAGTTTTACTAAAGACTTGTCAGTTTTATCTTTCCAAAGAGCCAGCTCTTTGTTTCATTGATAATTGCTAATTCTTTTAAATCTCTGTTTCATCTCTATCTTTATTTTCTTCCTTCTGCTAATTTGGGGCTTCATTTATTTTGTGTGTGTATGTGTGTGTGTGCATGTGTTTAGTTCCTTGAGGTGTAAAGTTAGGTTGTGAGACTTTTCTTATTTCTCAAGGTAGACATTTATCAATATGAACTTCCCTCTTAAAACTGCTTTTAATGTATCCAACAAACTTTGATATATGTCCATTTTCATTTGTCTCAAGGCATTTTTTTCCTCTTTGATTTCTCCTTTGACCTATTGGTTATTCAGTAACATGTTGTATAATCTTCACACATTGTGAAATTTCTAGGTTTCTTTGTGTAATTAATTTTTAGTTTCATACCATTATGGTTGTCTAAGATGTTTATGATTTCAGTCCACCTAAATTCATTGGCTTGTTTTGTGGCCCAACCTATGATCTATCCTGGAGAATGTTGCATGTGCACTTGAGAAGAATGTATATTCTATTGCTTTTGGATGGAAGGTTCTGTATATATATGTTAAGTTCATCTGGTCTAACATGTTGTTCTAATACCGATGTTCCCTCACTAATTTTCTGTCTGGATGATCTATGCATTGATGTAAATGAAATATTGAAATCTCCTACTATTATTGTATTGCTGTCTATTTATCCCTTTAGGTCTGTTAATATTTTCTCTGTATGTTTAGGTGTTCCTATGCTGAGTGCACAAGTATTTCCAAATGTACTGTTTTGTGTTGGATGGACCCCTTTATCATTATGTGTCACCCATCTTGTCTCTTATTACAGTTTTTATGTTTAAGTCTATTTTTTTCTGATACAAGTATAGCTACATTCGCTCTCTTTTGGTTTCCATTTGCATGGAATATCTTTTTCCATCTCTTCACTTTTGATCTGCATGTGTTCTTAAATCTAAAGTGAATTTCTTATGGGCAGCATATAGATGGGCCTTGGTTTTTTTCGTTGTTTTTTTATGCATTCAGCCACTCTGTGTCTTTTGACTGGAGAATGTAGTGCATTTACAGTTAAAGTAATTATTAATAGGTATGTACTTACTGCCATTTTGTTAATTGTTTATTGGCTGTTTTTGTACTTCTCGTCTTTTCTTTTCTTGCTCTCTTTGTGGTTTGATGACTTTCTTTAGTGGTATCCTTTATCTTTTGTGTTTTTACTCTAGATTTTTGCTCTGTGATTACCGTAGGCTTACATATAACAATTTATGTCTATAATAGTCTTACTATTTTTAAGTATAAGTAACATACAGTGTTAGCATATCAATTTGACAATTTTATACATTACTCAGTCACCATGATAAGTATAGTTACTGTCACCATACGATGTTATTACAATATTGTTGACTATATTCTCTTTGCTGTACTTTTCATCTCTGTGACTTATTTTATAACCGGAAGTTTGAACCACTTAATCCCCTTTATTTTGCCCATTCCTGCCACCTGCCTCCCTTCTGGCAACCACTAGTTCTCTATATTTAAGAGTCTGTTTTGTTTTGTTTAGAATCCACCTGTAGGTGAAATCATATGGTATTTTTCTTTGTCTGACTTATTTTACTTCCTGTAATACCCTCTGGGTTCATCAGTGTTGTCACAAATGGCAAGATACTCTTTTTTATGGCTGATTAATATTTCTTTGTATATATACACCACAGTTTTGTGGGGGGTTTTGAGTATAGTTGACAACAATGTTACATTAGTTTCAGGTGTACAACTTAGTGATTTGACAAGTTGATACACATTATGCTATGTTCACAAGTGTAGCGGCCATCTATCCTGTTACATTGCTTTTACAGTATCATTGACTATGTTCCTTATGTTGTGCCTTTTATTCCCGCAACTTACTCATTCCATAACTGGAAGCCTGTATCTCCCTCTCCCCTTCACCCATTTTATCCAACTCCTCACCCCTCTTCCCCCTGGCAACCATCAGTCTCTGTACTTATTGATCTGATTTTGCTTTTTGTTTATCCATTTGTTTGGTTGCATGTGTGTGTTTTTTTTTTTAATTTTTTGGTTCCACTTATGAGTAGAATCATATGGTATTTATCTTTCTCAGTCTGACTTAATTCATTTAGCATAATACAATCTAGCTCCATCCATGTTGTCTCCAATGGCATGATGCCATCCTTTTTTATGGCTGAGTAATAGTCCATTGTGTATATATACCACATTTTCTTTATCCATTTGTCTATGGACAGACACATGGGTTGCTTCCATATCTTGGCTGTTGTAAATAATGCTGCAGTAAACATAGGGGTGCATATATTTTTTTCAAATTAGTGTTTTCTATTTTGGGGGGTGAATATATACTAGTGGAATTACTGGATTATATGGCATTTCTATTTTTATGTTTTTTGAGGCACCTCCATACTGTTTTCCACAGTGGCTGTCCCAATTTATGTTCCTGCCAACAGTGCAAGAGGATTCCCTTTTCTCCACTTCCTCATCAGCACTTGACATTTCTTGTGTTTTTGATACTAGTCATTCTGATAGATGTGAAATGAGATCTTGTGGTTTTGATTTGCATTTCCTGGACGATTAGTGATGTTGAGTATCTTTTCATTTGTCTGTTGGCCTCTTGTATGTCTTCTTTAGAAAGAGGTCTATGCAGGTCTTCTGCCTATTTTTTAACCAGATTATTTGATTTGTTGGTGTTAATAGAAGTTCTTCATATATTTTGGATATAAACCCCTTATCAGATATATCCTTTGCAGATATCCTCTCCCACTCACAAGGTTGCCTTTGGTTTTATTAATAGTTTCCTTTGCTGTGTAAAAGCTCTTTGTTTTGGTGTAGTCCCAGTAGTTTAATTTTTGCTTTTGTTCCCTATGCCTGAGGAGACCTATGCATAAATAAGTTGGTAGGGGTATTGTCCAAGAGGTCGGACTGCCTATGTTTTCTTCCAGGAGTTTTATGATTTCAGGTCTCACATTTAGGTCTTTAATCCATTTTCTGTTTATTTTTGTGTATGGTGTAAGAAAGTGGTCCAGCACCATTTATTGAAGATACTCTTTTCCCCATTGTATATTCTTGCCTCCTTTGTGATAAGTTAATTGACCATATAAATGTGGGTTTATTTCTGGGCTCTCTATTCTATTCCATTGATTTGTCTGTTTTTTGCCAATACCATAATGTCTTAATTACTTTAACTTTGTAATGTAGTTTGAAATCAGGAAGCATGTTGCCTCCAGCTTTGTCTTTGTCAGGATTGCTTTGGCTATGTGGGTTTTTGTTGTTCCGTACAAATTTTAGGATTGTTTATTGTAGTTCTATGAAGGGGATTGGAATTTTGATATGGATTGCATTGAACATGTAGATTGCTTTGGGTAGTATGGGGATTTTAACAATATTCTTCCAATCCATGAGCATGGAATATCTTTCCATTCATTTTTGTTGTCTTCAGTTTCTTTCTTTAGTATCTTACAGTGGTCAGTGTATAGGGCTTTCACCTTGGTTAAATTTATTTTTAGGTATTTTATTCTTTTTGATGCAATTGTAGATGGGATGGTTTTCTTAATTTCTCTGATAGTTCACTGTTAAATTATAGCTCTTGTCTAGATAACTCTTAGACTGTTGTCAAATGAGTATGACACAAGTGTGTATCTCCATTGGGACCTCCTCTTGCCCTTTTTAACCCTCCCCCACCCACCCACATACTTAATTTTTTGCCCTCATTAATTTACTCAACAGATATTTTATTTGGCTTCCATTATGAGTCAGTTACTGTTTGTTCTAGACACTTGCTTTACTTCAGTGAACAAAACAGACAAAAGTCCCTTTTGGAGGATGCAGGAAATAAACATAATTAAATAATATGTTAGAAGGTGATGGTACCATCAAAAATACAGAGCAGGAAAAGGGGGATTGGGAAGTTCCAGAGTGGAGGTGGAAATTGGTATTTTAAGTATGGCCATCAGTTTAAGCCTCATTAAGTACATATTCTACTTGAAGGAATTAAAAGAACCAAGTGCATATCTGGAGGAAGAGTAGTCTAGGTAGAAAGATCAGCCTTTACAAAGGCTTACATAGGGAGGTACATGTCTGTCATGTTCTAAGAATAACATGGAAGGCAGTGTGTCTGTAGTAGGGTGAGAGCAAGGGAGAGATGGTAGATATGGTTGGAGAGATTATAGGTAGCCAGATTCTTGTAAGGATTGAGTGAAATGGAAGCCATGGGAGGTTTGGAGCAAAAAAGAGATATGGGCTGCTGGGTTGGGATTAAAGTGTAGGGACAGTGTGGAAGCAGGGAAACCAATTAGAAAGCTATTTCAGTAATCCAGTGGCAGATGATCATAGCACAGACCAGGGTGATAACAATGGAAATGGTGAGAAATGGATGGATTCTGAATGCATTTTGAAGATAGAGTTTACAGGATTTGCTAGGGATTGGATGCGAAGGTGAGATGAGGGGAGTGGCGGATAATTTCAAAGGTTTATGCGTAAGCCCACAGAAGTATGGAGTTATATCAACTGAAATGGGAAAGACAAAAAATAAAGATGTTGAGTAAGCAGTTGGATCCAGGAGTGAGTTCCAAGGGCAAGGTATAGGAAAAGGATGAACCAGTGAGTTTAAGAGAACAACCCAAAAAGTGTGGTGTCCCAGAAGCTAAGCCAAGATCCTTTATCAGAGAGGAGGGAGTAATTAGCTGTGTCAAATGAGTAAGTCTGGTGAGGACTGAAAATTTTGGATTAGCTTTACCAATGCCATTGGTGACCTTCACCATCTGTTTCTTTTGAGTGTTGGAGGCAAAAGCCTATGAAGAGTGAGTGAGGAGTATATAAGAGTGAAGAGTGAATATAAGAGAAAATGGGAGAAAAGGAATGAGAAGACAATGAGTACAGACAACTCTTAGGAGCATTGCTGCACAGAGGAACAAAGGAACGCAGTGTAGCTAGTAAGGAAAGGGAGTCGAGACTTTTTTTGAAGATGGGAGAAGTAGCCACCTGTTTGCTGATGGCAATAATCCACAGAGATGGGAAATGTGATGGTGAGGGAGAGAAGGACTAATTCAGCTGTTGGAACAATATTCTTGAGTGTACTAGAGAGAATAGGCTTGATGTAGAGGTAGAAAGATTGTATTTGGATAACAGCATGGATAGTTTGGCTATTGTGACAGGCAGAGTGTATGTGGTTATAGGTATTGGTAGGTGGTTTGATACCGTTTTGAGAGTCTAGACGTTTTCATTGCTTCATTTTCCTCAGTAAAGTCGAAAACTTTGTATCACACTTAGACAAATTAACAATAACTGATAATAGCATTTATTACTTATTCAAGTTACTTATTCACTAATAAATACTTACTGAGTACATACTATATACTAGGCATTGTTCTAGATTGTAAATATTTAACTGTGAACAAAAGCCCCCCTCCCTGCGGAACATCTATTTTAATGGATGGAAACAATAAGCATGTATATGTCAGCTTCAATTAATGGTAAGAATTAAAATAAAGTAGTATAAGGGGGAAGAGAGGTAGTTCCTTTTTATAGGTTGGTCACAGAAGTTCTTTCTGATGAAGTGATATTTGAGCAGAGATCTGAATTAAATCAGGGAGTGAACCATGAAGGGATCTGGGAAGAACATTTGAAGCAAAAAGGACAGACAGTGCGAAGACCCTAAAGCAAGACTATCTTGCCATATTGAAAACCAGCAAGGGACCAGTATGACTGCAGCAGAGGGAATGAAGGAGTAAGGGGCAGAAGGTAAGTTCATCGAGGTAGTGGAGAACCCCGATCATACTGACCTTGCAAATCATTAGAAGGACTTTTTAAATTCTGAAACAGGATGCTGCTATTGGAGGTTTTGAATAAATGAATGACGTGGTTTGATTTATGTTTTAAAAGGCTCAGTGTGGCTGCTCTAGGGGCAGGGGTGTTAACAGGCATTTGTAGAAACGGGGAGACCTCTTACGGGGCTATCACAGTGATCTTGCTGGTAGATGATGGGGATTTGGTGGTAGTACTAGAGATGGTAAAAGTCAGCTTCGGCTATACTTAGAAGAACTGAAAAGATTTACTGACAGATTAGATGCAGAGTGAGAGAGAAACTAATGCCGAATGTGAAATTTGGGGGGTGTCTTACCCTAGACCAGATTTACTGTTTACTAAAGTGGGCAAGGTGAGGGCAGAAAAGGTTTGGAGGACATGGTATCAGGAATTTGGTTTTTGACACATTTCATTTGAGCTACCTACTTGATATTTCCATTCAGTGGCAAGGAGGCAATTTTATATAGGGCAACAAGGGGAGAAGGACTGGGGATATACATTTGGGAGTCATCAGCAGATAGCCTCTAATACTAAGGGAGTAAAGCATCTAGAGAAGACCTAAGAAGCCTTAAAGGCACTCAGGTAGAAGTCAGGTACCTGCGGAGGGACCAGTCAAAGGAAACAAATATAGTAGTATCCAGTGAGTGGGGAGGAGAGAACGGAGTGTGGGGCCCCAAAAAGCCAAAGAAAAGATTTCAAGTGTTTGCAGGTATATAATGTGAAGACTAATAACTAGCCATTATTTTTGCTGAGTTTTTCCTGATAACTCCCTGAATCTGTCTCCTGTCCATCTCTAAGCTGAAAGTGCCATGAGGTCAGGGATCTTGTGTATGACTTGTAGCTCAGTATTTGTTGAATCCATACTACTGCCACCCTACTCAAGCCCTCATCTCCTTCTCATCTTCCAGTACATTCTCCCTGGCATCCCTCCTGTTGCTACAAATGCACCATGCCATCTTTTTCAGCTCCATCTCCTACCACTTCCTATTCATAATTACACCTTAATCCTGTGGAACAATTTATAGTTCTCTCTACAGACTGTATCATTTCATACTCTTATGGCTTTACTCGTTCTGTTCTTTCAGCCTAAGATGATCTTCTGCCTTTGTTTGGCTGAAGTCTGGCTTAAAGAATCAGGAAGCTTTTGTTAACGAGTTCACTCAGTCCACAGGTAGCCTCCATCATACACTGTGTACATCTGTCACGGTGCTTATTCTTTATTGAGTTAAATACTGTTTTGTATATCTGTTACCCTCTGTAGAATATAAGTTTTTTAGAGTCCAGGAGCATATCCTTATTCATCTTCCCCTCTCTCCTGCCTATCGCAGTGCTGTCTTCTTGGTAAGCACTCCATAAATACCAAATGTTAAGGGGGAAAAAATGAAGCAGAGGGCATGCAAGTGTGAGCCAAAAGATTGTCTGGATCACTGGACTGACAGGAGAAAGGAATGGTAGTACACAGTAAATTGATTCTAGATTAGGTCAAAAGGCAGACTTTTAAAAGAGATGGTAAAGATGTACCTTTTAATAGATCTGTGCTTTGTATAAAGGAGTATAAATGCCTATGTCAGAATAACAAAAAATAGAAATTATATAGCAGTTTGCAATTAAGAGTTTGCGACAGCATATATTAGAATGTATGAAGTAGACTATATTACATTAGTGGTTTATCATGCTTAATATTTTCATATTAAATTTTTAGGACATCAATGCAAGCCTGAATAAGAAAAACAATTTCTTCCTTCTAAGCCATGGCATATCAGTTATACAGAAACACCACTTTGGGAAACAGTCTCCAGGAGAGCCTTGATGAGCTCATACAGGTGGGAGACTAAAACCAACTTTTATTTAGAGGAGTCATATAATAAGTTTTGTTAGATCCCTTCTCTCAGGCAGAGAGCTAAGAGGTAAAGTATCTTAGAATCTTTGACCCAGCAAGTCAGTATTTATCCATCCTGACTACAGGGCATAAAATATAATGAAGATCAAATGACATAGTTTAACATGCCTAAACATAAAAATTGAGATGATTGGTTTTCTCTTATTTATAAGGCATAGTCTGTGTAGCTTTAAGGTAACTTTGGACAATTTGATAAAGTCTTTTGAGATTTAAATTTGAATTTATGGTTCAGCTTTAGGAGAAATAACCTTTTAAAATAAAGCTCATCTAAGAACATATTAAGTATTTCCATTTATTTTCATACAGTTGATGAGCTTTGATGAGTTTAGGTTTTTAAAAAAATAGATTACTAGGCCTGCATTTTTTTTTTTTTTTAAAGACCCTGCATTCTTTCAGTCTATCAAATGCCTCTTTCCAGACACTGTAAAGGAGTAATAGAGTTTTGTCCTGGCAGTGTAACATCACTGCATGTTTTCTTTTCAAAATTCTGTTTGTGTCAAGACAATGCAAGAAAATATTGTCAGGCTTTACTCCTTAATTGTCAGTATGGCAAAGAAGAAGGGAGTCTAGTTTAAGAGGCTCTCTGTTAACCTCAGTTAAATGTTAGATGATAATTCATACATATTTTGTCTTTAATGTCCTTTCCTAAGAAGATTTATGACCTTTACTTTTTCTCAGTCTCAACAGATCACCCCCCAACTTGCCCTTCAAGTTCTACTTCAGTTTGATAAAGCTATAAATTCAGCATTGGCGCAGAGGGTCAGGAACAGAGTCAATTTCAGGGTAAGGATATTTTCCTAAATCTAGAAGCTTGCACCAGTGGTTGTTAACAACAGTGCTTTTTAGGACCCCTATATATTTATGAATTCTAATAGGAAGCGATGGTTTAATCAAATATTGGAGTTTGTTTTATAATTATACTTTACTTTTAAATGACTTCTATACTAAGTTTATCCACTTAATGTGAGAGAGAATTGTTTTTAGATTTTTATTCCATTGTTTCACAAATCAGCCTATGTATGTTTCGCTGCCTTCCCTGAAGAGTTAACTGAGATTGCAAACGCCCAAACCATTACCTGCAGGATTGAAGGTAAGTGACAGAGTAGTCCCTAAAGCTCACTTATGTTTTTCAAACACAGATATTGCCTCCCACCTACTCTTATGAAGACCTGAACTGGTGGTAGGTAATGATCTGTTCTGATAGCTTGATCTCATTTGAACAGTAATCCCAAACTGAACAAAAGATGGTAAATTCAAATTAAAGGCCCATTGAAAGTATCATAGTGGGCACATTCTGCATGGAGCACTGGGTGTTATGAACAAACAATGAATCATGGAACACTACACCAAAACAAATTATGTAATATATGGTGATTAACATAACAATAAAAAATTTAAAAAAAAAAGAAAGTATGGTGAATAGAAGTAATTTTACCACATTGATATTGATGGAGTCAGATATATATAATCAAATATCCCTGTACACTGTTATATAATATTTATGCTTATGTTGTTTTAAGGGATACCATAAAGTAGAAATCAAAAGGTTACAGTATATGAAAAGAACATAGAGGTTAATTTGTTTTTAAGAGCATAGTGTTTGGGGGTTTCTTAAAAAAATTTTAAATTTATTTAAAATTTATTCAACAAACATTTCGAGGCCTGTTACAAACCAGGCATTGCTGTGAATATTGGGTTGGCAGAGAACGAATTTAGTGAAGAGATAAAGTCTGCATGTATGTTATATAATAAGTCTCTTACTAATTTCATATGCTTAAAAGTTATCTGGAGTAAAATGTATCTTTATAAAATTTTACCAATAGATTCTTGAATTTTTAACAGTAACTATTCTGGCAAAAGTAGTTTGCTGTTTTGTATAACTATGTGTGCAAATCTGCCAAGACGCTTTAATTTGAAATTGATCCATATTGATACCTAATAGTTTTCTAATTATATTATTGTCGGTTTCCAGTTTGGATCTATTTAGCTAAAGTTAAACATAATTGGACATTTGCATTTCTCTTGTGTAGTGTTTTGTAAGTTTGTCTGTTTTCCAAAAGCTAGAAATAATTAGTTTTTGAGCAGATCTGACTTTACCATTCTTGTTTTTTTTCTTTTCCTACTGTTTTAAGCCCAGGCTTTCATTACCTGCCTCTCCCATTACAGCAGACTTGATCAATTTTAAGTCCAGAATGTTTGCAAATAACCTGTTTTGTTTGGTGGGACATATTACAAAGGCAGAAGAGATCACACATTAATAATTTCTAATTTTCAAAGGCATTTTGCTAGATCATATTTAAATCTGTATTGTTTGTAGTAATTTTTACTGGCCTGACGGCCCATTGAAACAATCTTAGGTAACATGGTAAATTTTGCTTTAAATCCTCATATGAATTTCATATAACTGAGATCATTTAGTAGAATCTTAAAGGGGAAAAAAATCTTGAGTATGAGAATTAAGATTTTAATAATTTCTATGTTAAAATTTATTAGCAAAAAAAGTCAAAATACATGTTTACCGAGAACCTTGAACTAATTTTTAGGGAAAACATTCATATTGAACTAGTCACTTAAAGAGTCAGCGTATGCTTTTAATAGAATGTATGCTGGCAGGTAAGAGTAACAGTTACTTAATATTAAAGTACTAAACTTCAGATAGTAATTAAGGAAGCATTAAAAGATTTAGTGGTCAAGAAAAATCACCCTTCTGAATTCCCTATTCCATTTCTATAATTAACATGCATTAAAATATTCTAACTGCAAGAATGTTGCCCAGTTATAGATTGTTTAAAAAAAAAGTATTTATTAAAGGTGCATTTAAGATAATCAGTTACTTGACCAAAGCCAAATGTCATGTTTTAATATTTAAAACGTTCCCTCCAATACTTTTTTAAATAAAATTTTTGATTCTTGAGATACTAGATTATGACTTTCTCATGAAGACAGCGAAGAAGATATTTAAATAACTAAACATGTTGTAATATTTTATATTTATTAGGGATTCTAGCTCACGAAACAGTTCTAAAGAGAGAGGTGACTCAGTCAGTTAAGCCTCTGCCTTCAGCTCAGGTCATGATCCTGGAGTCCCGGGATCGAGTCCCGTATCGGGCTCCCTGCTCAGCAGGGAGTCTGCTTCTCCCTCTGACCCTCTCGTGCTATCTCTCATTCTCTCTCTCTCAAATAAATAAATAAATAAAATCTTTAAAAAAAAAATTGGCATTTGGCTGTGTAGCCTTCCAAAGGCTCAGACTGTAGCTAATGAGATTTTTTTTTTTTTGTAATAATTCTTTGTTAACCCAACATGTCTTATGTGGTTTTCCATGCATTAATCTTACCACTCCACTGAAACTTTCTTGCCATATTATTGCTAAACCTAATGCATAATTTGTGATATTACTGATTAGTCTCTGTTGAAACCCATACTTCCCTTGAAACCATACTATCCTAGCTTCCTTTCTCTGACCCCTCTCTTTCTCAGACCCTTTGTAGTTTAATTGTTGGTATTCCTTAGGTTTAGCTAGGGATCCACATATTCTCCTTGAATGAATGACTCCAACCCTGTGGCTCTAAAGTCAATAGGCCTATGCTCCTGGGCTTTCTTCCACACACCCATCTGCTTTTTTCACATGGTGATTTAGATCTCAAACTCAACAAGTTTCAAATTTATCAGACTGGCTTTTCCTATGATTGCACTGTTATTGGAGCCAGAATCTTGAGAGAGAACAAATTTTGTCTCCCCACCATAGCCAGTTGGTTGTCAAGTCCTATCAGGAATTTTTTTTTTTTTTTTAAGATTTTACTTATTTTAGAGAGAGTGGGAGAGGAGCAGAGGGAGAGGGACAAGCAGACTCCACACCCAGCCTGGAGCCAGACACAGGGCTGAATCCCACGACCCTGAGATCATGACCTGAGCAGAAATCAAGAGTCAGACGCTCAACCAGCCGTGCCCCTCTCTGCACTTCTATAGACCTCTTCGCTGCTATAGTAAAGCCACTCTCACCTCACATTCAGCACCCCCCCCCCACCCATCAGTTCTTCATGTTATCATGAGAAGTGCAAATCTGTTACTACTCTGCTCAAAATCCTTCATTGACCTAAGACATTTAGGATACAGCAAAAGCTTTCTAAGGTTCTCCAGGATCTCCTTCCCCTTGGGACCTCCTGACACAGTTGACTTTTACTCATTTTTCAAAACTCAAACTTCAGTTTGTGAGAGAAGCCTTCTGTGCCCCATACCCTTGGGTGCCCCTAGCTTATTACTCTTTCATAATACTGCTATTGTTTTAATGCTCTCCTTTAAGCTTGTTGATGACAGGAATCATATTTAGTATCCTCAGAGCCTAGCATAGTCCAACAAATAGTAATTACTCATATTTTTAAAACTGTGTTAAGTCATTCATAGCATCATAGTTTCCCTGATCATTCTCACTTGATAGAACATTTAGATAGACTGTAGTTTTTACTATTATGGGTAACACTGCAGAGAATGTTTTTCTGAATTGAAGGTTTAGGGCATACAGATCTCTTAGCAAACACTAAATTTCATTCGTGAAGATTCCGTGTGAATATGTCTCAAGTTTTGATTGTATTCAGTTGGTGTCTATCCTTGCACTTTCACCCCATTCTTCAAAAATTTCCTTTTAATGTTTAAGCAATTATCCCTGCTCCTAAAAAAAGAAAACAATAACTTTTTATCAGTTGCGCAGGACAGTAATATTGTAGTTTCTGTGGCTAATACAGTAATTCATCTGAGGGAAGCACAGCGTTAAAATTGAATGTTTCTGGGTAGTCCCTGCTTCTGTACAAGTTCGGAGAGTTAACACATACAATAAAATGCAGTTGACCCTTGAACAACATGGGTTTGAACTTCAGGGATCCACTTACAGATTTTCTCAATAAATACAGTCCTGTAAAAGGTATTTTCTCATGATTTTCTTAACTTTTTTCTGTAGCTTTATTGTAAAAATACAGAATATAATGCATAGAATGTTACAAAATGTGTTAATTGACTGTTATCGGTGTAACATTACACACAGTAGCCTATTAATCGTTAAATTTGGGTGGAATCAAAAGTTGTGTGTGGATTTTCTTAGAGGTGAACTTTTATCGTGTTCCCACAAGAGGGCAGTAGAAGTACAAATTCAAATTTCCTTTCAACTTTTCTTCGCCTTTCAGGTAAGTAATTTGCAGACTCTTAACAGTGCTGAAAGTAGTCTGCTAACTGCAGTATTTAACTCTTAGTAAATTTATCTAGGGTGTTTTTTTTAAGTGATAGAATGAAAAAGAATTAGGTAGTTGGTAGCTGAGTTCTCAAATTGCTTTGGGGAAAAAAATGACTTCATGGTATGTCTAAATGTTTTGTTTTAAAGGGCTCTCTAAATACATACAGATTCTGCGATAACGTGTGGACTTTTGTTTTGAATGATGTTGAATTCAGAGAGGTGACAGAACTTATTAAAGTGGATAAAGTGAAAATTGTAGCCTGTGATGGTAAAAGTAAGTGTTTACCTAATTACTGTGAAAGCAAAGCTACTTGAAATCTTGTTTTTGTGAGTCTTTAGAAAATCTTTGTCTGAAATTATGGGGGGGAAATGGCTTCCATCTCAGCTGGATTCGGAATTCCAAATCTCAATTCTCAAACAGTCCTCTTAATGACTTTAGGTGTGAACATTTCACAGGACACATAGACTGCTTCCACAGATTGAATTTGTGTGAGTTACAAATAAGCAAGTTAAGGGATCTTTTCCCCTATGTCAGTTGCAAATTTGAAGTGTTTAATTTTGAAATTTATCCTAGTTTCTGTGTTGCTGGATGCCTATACATTTTATATTTTTAAAGTAATCATTTAAAAGATTTTAAAATAACCATAAGAACCTTATCAGGTATAATGGTAAATATCCATTCCTGATCTATTACATCTGTGCAGATATTTGTTTAAGTCAAATGTTTCAAAAACTATACATCTTTCTCTTCCATGATTAGTTATTTCCTTTTTGCTAATTATATTTTAAATATATTTTTACTTTATGATCTGAACCATTTGTGCCTAACCAGCTGTCCTAAAATTAAATAGAGAAGACTATTACTAAGAAGGGGAGTTTTGAAAAGCAAAAGAAAATGTAGAAATACCCTAAATTTCTCAGATTATTTGGTTTTATGTATTTTGGGTTGCAAAAGAAATAGCTAATCAATGAAAAAATTTAAAGAGGACAGAAAAGCACACAGAAGAAAAGCATAATTTGTAACACCATCTGGAGATAACATCACTTAATATTTTATTATATAACTTTCTAGTCTTATCTGTTTTTACAGTGATATACATGTGTACACATTTGCAAATACATCATTTTTCATGGCTGTATAAAATTATACTTTTGGCTTTTTTTTTTTTTTTTTTTTAAGAACTAGTCTCTTCCGGAGATCAGAAAGTCTCCAAAATTAGCAACACTTCAATGACTGGTGCTTTTCAGAAGGTTAGCTAGGAGTAATCATTCTAAGAACTTAAAGCAAAGATGACTTTTTAACTTTGTTTCCTTGCTATAATGACAGAAAAGATCTATGTAATTTTATAGTTCTGGATTACAAGATGATAACATTTCTGCATGTCAGATAATGTATACTTGTTTCATATTTTTCTTATAATTTAGGCTAATAGCATCCTCATAACCCTGAGATTTTTTACTAGACTGTGGAATTTGGGCATTAATTCATAACTTCTGTATCTATCAAAGCAAGTTAATGATGTAGACCAGTACTATTCAGTAAAACTTGAACCTATGGAAATGTTCTCTGTCTGTACTTTCCAGTAGCCACATATGGCTCTTAAGCATTTGAAATGTGTTAGGGCAACTAAGAAATTTAATGTTTTATTTTTTATTTAATTTTATCAGTTAGCTAAATAACCACACGTAGCTAGCCAGTGGCTACCATGTTGGACAGCAGATACTCTTGCCTGAAGATGCAAGATTGTTTTTTTTCAAAATTCAGGAGATGAAAAGTAGCAAATCAGCCTTACCTATTGCCATAGCTTCTGAGAAGTTTGCCCTGCTTCCCGCACATAGTATTAACTGATCTCGAAGAAAAAACTGTTGAGTATTCAAGAGAAGCTTCAATTGTGTTCCATGTATTCTGTCAGCAAAAAAGAATACAATCTTAGAATGTTTTCTTTTCAAAATTAAAATATAAAAAGTTTGGCATTTAAAAGTAGAAGTTTAAGTAACTGTGAGAAACTTCCATTCCTTAGTGACCAGATAAATGGAGTGCTACTATGAAATAAGCCCATTTTCTCTAAAAGTCAGCTTTCTGAAATAGGAAGAGTGATAGTGGCTAGAATTTTGGTCTGTATCTCACCAGGAATTAAAATAACAATTTTCTTCAGATTATATATGTAATGGTCCTTTGTGGTTTAAAATTTGGGGACAGTAGAGGACCTAAGGGAAAAAATGGTCATGTAGTACCTCTAGGAACCAAACCAGTATAACTTACGTAATGAACCAAGTAATACAATTTGGTTTTTCAATAGCATAAATATGGAGAGCTGAGAATTATCTTCTCACCTGTGCCTTAAAAGGAAAGGTATTTAAGTTCTCAGGGCAGTTCCTTGATCAGCCTTCTCTTCTTCCCCATCCTTCACACCAACACCACCATTAGTTCCTGTTTTAGTTTTTAAAAATATTCTCAAAATATTTAAATTTTAAGTTGCTCCTTGAATTTACTCTTTCTCTCCTCTGTTTCCTAGATACTGGCTCCAATACTACAGAATGAATTGAAAAAAAAAATGGCTTTTTTAACGCCATCTTCTGTTATTATTCATCGCTTTTTTGAAGAGAAGCATAGAAGAGACTTTTTTTTTATTTATTCTGGCATCGCAGAAATGACTACACTGTGTTATATATACTATCAGAATTCCAATAGAAAGCCTATAACTCTAGCCTCTTACATTACCTTTTCAGCATGAAGAAACAGAAGTTTTTTTTAATAACAAACATTGTTGCCTTCCTAAGAACATTCTTGAATAAACTCATTTTAAAACTCAGTGTGAGTAATAAGTGGTAGAGCTATTAAGCTAGCAATATGAAGAGATTAGATAAGCATGTTGAAAGCGCACCATCTTCCTTACAAAGGAAATTAGGAAATGCATTCTTTTCAGTAAAGGGAAATTAGTTTCATCAGGGCAAAACCAAATTCTGGATTGGGATATGTCTTTTTTAAAAATATAAAACCAATCATTGGTGTGAAAGACCTAAGTACAACTCCATTAGGAAAAGTTAGACAGTCTTTACACAGCTTCCATAACCAACACAAAACTAAAAAACCTAGCAACATAAAATAGTCTCCACATGACATGTAAATAATTTCTTAAGCTGGCCCTATTGGTCATATTTCATACATTTTAAAACTATCTACATCTTAACAGTTACTAGACTGCCAATAAAAAGTCCTACTGAATATATGCCATATCTTTGTGTACTTGAAGGAAAAAAGTCTTCCTTGTTTGTCAGTCTGGGTAATATCTAATGAAGAACATGGCTTTTCTAAAATATCGGGCACCGGGTAGTTAAGTCACCGAAAGTCAGCAGCTGACTATAGAGGAGTCAAGACCAACTATTTTTAATAAGGATCTGACACTGTTTATCATTTAGTGAGGGTAGGTTCTTGACAGTCCCATCCTGTGGTCACCTGCAATTAGTGTGCCAAAGCTACAGTGGGATGAAAAATTACCTTTTTCTCGATCTGAAAGATAATGCTGCTGAGAGATAATTGAGTTGTCAGTAATCTTTAGCAAAATAGCTTTTTATAAACCTATTAAAATGTTAAATAGGTCTTTGTATTACACATAGTCCCCGTTTTTGCATGTGTAGAAGCACATTATATAACAAGTGTCATTTTTAAGCAACCAGTGCTCAAGTCTGATCGATTTAGCAGCACAGACTTTGTAAAATAATAGCAAGCATAACTATTATGAGACCAGGTGCTATATTTGTTACATAGATTCTCCTGGATGATCTTAACACCCTCAGGAGACCTTTGTTCCCTTTTTACAAATTAACAAACTCAACCTCTCTGTATTACCAAAGTGTACATAACTAGGACTTTTCTTAATTGTAATTAATCAAAACCGAAACCTTTTTACTTTGGAGGTTCAACAGAATGGTTAGGGGACAAGTATGTTGATAGTGAACAGTAGTTGTAGAAATTTCTGGTTCTTAAAGAGTAAGTCATGATTTAAACTTTTTTTTTTTTTTTTTTTTTTTTGCTTGTAGTAGTCACTGAGCTCTTACAGAAGGAAGAATAGGGCTGGAGTTGTATACTTGTCTGGGAATTTAAAATCCTGTAAAGCCTATCAATAGATTGTGTTTCCAAGAAATGCAGAAACATTTCTCCTGCCTGGGTGAGGGGTTTGTTGTAAGACATGTTTGGCTGGCCTGACCTAACTGGAGTAATACTGACTTATGTCATGCTCTGGGTGCTTCTGTAGTATTTCCTCAGCGTGTTAGTATAATCCTTGCCTCTCACGTTAATTATCTTTGCAGCCCATTCTAGTAATTGACTCCAGGGTTCTCTTCCTAGCCTTCCCTACCACCCAGCACATAATCTGCTCCAAATTTGGTTATGTTGTTTCCTCCATATCTCATGGCTTTCCTTTTAAAAATCAACATTCTACCCAGCCTTCAAAACTTAAACCCAGTTTTGTCTCTGCGTGTAACTAATACTGATCTCCTCTTACAAAGGAGTCCTTTAAATACATGAAAGACACAACAAGAGATTGGAAGAACGTGGTCCGTTTCACTACTCACTCAGGTGCTCAATCCAGGTAACTTCATTAGAACTTCATTCCATCAGCTGAAGTCTGTTCTTGTACTTAGGTCAGTCACCATAGACACCTTCTTTCGCCTGGGCAGGGAGTGCAGTAATCCTAGCTCACCTTTCCTCCTGTCAGTCTCATTACTTGCATAGCTGACCCTTAATTGCAGTAGGTGTTCTAATGGTCCCATAGTGGTACTCACACTTTACTGGAATTACAAAAGCATCTCAGCAAGAACTCACTCTACTTTGTGCTTTCCCAACCGGCCACAGGCTCCAATGATAGTAAGTTTACTTGCCTGTTAATGCGGAAGAAGAAAAAATCCACTAGTTTTTCTACTGTTAGGACTAAGTAAAAGCTAGGCTTTTGTGATAATGTAGAATCAGTCCACTGTAGAGGCATTACTAATGCTACTTTAACACCCAAGTAGTAGGCAAAGAGTACCTTCTGAGTTTATTGGATTGGTCGTTGTTTGGCTTATTTTGATCTATCTTCAGCTAATTTTGAAAAAGAAAAGTGAATAGTTTCTCTCTTGGTAGACATCAATTACAATGTGAAGGTAGGTTGTCTTCAGTTTTGAGTGGGTCATAATTAGATTCCTACTAATAGTAAAATTTTGAAAGTTTATATACATGTGTTATATGTATATTTCTCAATTGGAGAAGCCATTATTTGGAGCCTTGTTATGAAATTCGTACTCAATAAAATAGAGCACAGAGTAAGGGAAAGTGGAAGATAGAGTTAACATGAGAATGAGAGATTACCAGAGGTCTTGAAAGCTGGGCAGGGAAATTCTTAGAGCCTTTATTGGTCTTTGGGGAGGGGAGACACATGAAACAAAGCTGAAATAATGCAGGAAAGATAGGAGAGTATCCATGCAGGAGTTAAAATTTGGCCTAGAGAAATAATTGTGGGAATTCAAGACCTCCAGAACAGGAACTTTCACTAAAAAAAAAAAAAAAAAAAAGTCAATGGAGCTGGGAGTTCAGGGTGTTAACAAATATATAGACATCTGTCCGGACCTGCTGGCCACGATATGATGAGGTTCATAGATCAGAGACTTCAAAGCTGATGGAACCTCAAAGATGAACCAATGAATCCAGCCTCATTCAGTGCACTAGAAAGTTAAGGTCTAGAGGGGGTCCATTTCTCCAAGCCCAAAAAGCCAGGAGAGCTGAGTGTAAAACCCCAAAAGCTGTAAAACTATAGTGCATGAAAATACAAGCTGTCCTTCACAGCATCGCTTATTATTTAAACATCTTTACTTAAGTCCTTGCTGATGGATAAAGAAGATGTGGGATGTATATACAATGGAATACTATGCAGCCATAAAAAAAACCCAAGTCTTGCCATTTGCCAACAACACGGATGGAACTAGAGGGTATTATGTGAAGCGAAATAAGTCAGAGAAAGACAATTATCGTACAATCTCACTCTTGTGGAATTTCAGAAACAAAACAGGATCATAGGAGAAGGGAAGGAAAAATAAAAAGATGAAATCAGGGGTCCTGGGTGGCTCAGTCAGTTAAACATCTGCCTTCGGCTCAGGTCATGATCCTGGAGTCCTGGAATCAAGTCCCACATTGGGCTCCCTGCTCAGCAGGGAGTCTGCTTCTCCTTCTGACCCTATCCCCTCTTGTGCTCATTCTCTCTCAAATAAATTTTTAAAAATAAAATACTAAAAAAAAAAGTGAAATCAGAGAGGGAGGTAAACCATAAGAGATTCTTAATCATAGGAAACAAACAGGGTTGCTGGAGGGGGGATGACATAACTGGGTGATGGACATTAAGGAGGGCATGGGATGTAATGAGCACTGGGTGGGTATAAGACTGATGAGTCACTGAACTCTGCCTCTGAAACTAATAATACACTATGTTAATTGAATTTAAATTTAAAAAATTTTAAGTTTTTAAAAAGTCCTTGCTGCTACTCACGTAGGAGCATATTACATGGAATTATCCAAGTGAGAACTCAAAATCTGTGCTTGCTACTAAATATTTTTAGAATCAAATTATATGATGCCTGGCACTTCAAAAACAAATGAGGGAAGTGATGGGTGGGGGGGATGTTAATAAAATTAACCATGCATAGTGGTTAAATGATAGTTGTTAAAATTTAGTAATAAACAAATGGGATTCATTATACTCATCTATTTGAATATATGTTAGAAAATTTCTTAAAGGATTTTTTCCCCTAAAGTCAATGCTTGTAATGTGTAGCATTTGGCCTAAGATATTATATTTAGGGCTTGTTTTTTACCCTTATTTTGTGTGTCCACTTTTTGTTACTATCATGGCATATGGAGCCTTCCAGGACCCTCCAGTAAGTTTTAAAGCCTTTGTTTTGTCAATCCATTCTAAAAATGCCCTCTAATGTGGTGAAAATTCACCCAGCTATTTTTTTATTATTATTTTTACATGCTGTGATAGTAATAGGATCTTAATTTCCTAGTACATAGATAGATAGGATTTGCATGGGGTTTGGGACAAGGCATTTCACTTCATAATAGGTACAGGAATGTGGCAACATGCAGCAAAGAATTTAATGCAGTTAGCTCAAGAGCACTATGCAGAAAGGCTCAACAGTATTGAGTGTCCCAACTGTTATTTTCTGATTCTGTGAACCTCTTAAAGTTCTATTCCAGGAGAAATTGGCTTCAAAATTGATTCTTTTGCCACTGGGCAGAGATTGGAGATTATTTTTCCACTTCTGGAAATACATGGGCAAGTACCAAACCTTTGCCTAAGTTAAGGGATTGGACACACACGCTCTATGCTTTCTTCCCTGTGATTTTATTCATTCTGTTTTCCAAGATGAAGTACCACAAAACACCCCAAATAGACAAAGCAATCTTCAGAACAAAGCTAGAGGCACTATGTTCCCTAATTTCAAGCTATATTGCCAAAGCTATAGTAATCAAAACAGTATGGTATTGAAATAAAAACACACACACATGGATCAGAATAGAGAGCCCAGAAATAAACCCACACAAATAGTTTAATTTATGACCAAAGAGCCAAGAATATATGCATGGAGAAAGGAGAGTCTCTTTAATACATGGTGTTGATAAAACTGAACAGCAAAAGAATGAAACTCAACCACACCACTATCTTCTACCATACACAAAAATGAGCTCAGGGGTGCCTGGCTGGCTCAGTCAGTAGAGTGTGCAACTCAGTCTCAGAACTGTGAGCATATTGGGTGTAGGGATTACTTAAAAAACTTAAAAAAAAAAACTCAAAATGAATTAAAGACTTGAATGTAAGACTGAAACCATGAAACTCATAGAAGAAAACAGGTGGTAAACTCCTTGACATCAGTCTTGGCAGTGATTATCTTGGATCTAACTCCAAAAGCAAAGGCAACAGGAGCACCTGGGTGGCTCATTCGGTTAAGCATCCATCTCTTGGTTTTGGCTCAGGTCATGATCTCAAGGTCATGCGATCAAGCCCTAGGTCAGACTCTGTGCTTAGCACAGAGTCTGCTTAAGATTCTGTCTCTCCCTCTATTCCTCCCTGCTCCTTTACTCTCTCTAATAAATACATAAATAAAATCTTTTTAAAAAATTAAAAAACAAAAGCAAAGGCAACAAAAAGCAAAAACAAACAGGTAGCCTTGTACAAACCAAAAAACTGTAAAGGAAACCATCAACTAAATGACAAGGCAACCTACTGAATAGGGGAAAATATTTGCAAATCATATATCTGATAAGGTGTTAATACTCAAAATATGTAAGAACTCATACAACTTAATAGAAAGCAGTCCAATTTAAAAAATGGGGATTTAGGATGACATGAAAGAAGACATACAAATGGTTAACGGGTACATAAAAAAGGTGCTCAGTATCACTAATACCAGGGAAATGCAAATCAAAATCCCATGAGGTATCATACCCCATACCTGTTAGAATGGCTTTTATAAAAAAAAGTGTTAGTGAGGTTGTGAAGAACTCTTTGTGTACCATTGGTGATAATGTAAATTGGTACAGCCATTATGGAAAACCACATGGAAATTCCTCAAAACATTAAAAATAGAACTCCAATATGACCCAGTTATCCCACATCTGGGTATTTACCCCATGTTCATTGCAGCATTATTTAAGTATTCGAGTCATGGAAATAACCTAAGTGTCTGTCAACAGATGAATAAAGAAAATGTGATATATGTATATAAATATATACGCAATGGGATATTCAGGCATAAAAAAGGAAATCCTGCCATTTGTGGCAAGATAGATAGATGGATCTTGAGAGTTATGCTAAGTGAAAAAAAAAAGACAAATTATGTATGATTTCTCTTGTATGTGGAATCCAAAAAACACACAAATTCATAGATACAGAGACTAGATCAGTGGTTGCCGGAGGCAGGAAGTAGAGGTGGGTGGGCAAAATGTTCAAAGATGGGCAAAAGGTACAAATATCCAGTCATACGTAAGTCCTAGGGATGTAATGTACAAGATGGTGACCATAGTTAAAATACTTATTGCATATTTGAAAGTTGCTAAAAGAAAAATCATAAAAGTTCTCATCACAGGAATATAAATGTGTAACTGTGTGGTGATGGATAGTAGAGATTGGGGTTTAGGGACAGTCAGGTAATTGGACATTAACAGAGTTCCAGAAAGGAATCAATACAGTGGTCCCCTAGAGTCTTCACTGAGTACTCTACATAAGTGGAATGACACTCTACAAGATCAAACAATAAGTGACTGGTGCGGGGGGGGTTCGGGGGGCCGTAGTTGTAAATAGCAATTCCCAGAGCTCACATAGAACCAGGAGCCAGAGTGCAGATTTATTTTATTACCTATTTAATGCCCTCAGTAATCACCAGGGTATTAAATAGAGACCCCAGAGGGGTCATGCCTTCGTAGTGGCCATAAAATATCCCTGGAGTGAAGGCTACTTTAGCTTAGACCCATTCTAGCAAAGATGCTTTAAATATAAGATTCAAAGGCACCAAACTGATCCACAAATAAGTGCTAAAACAAAGCCTGACACTTAAGTAAACAAAATCCAGATCCTCAATAATGTAACAGTCATAATGTCCTGCATCTAATTAAAGAATTATTAGACATGTCAAGAAGCAGAAAAATGTGACTGATAACTAGAAGAAAAAGTAGTCTGTAGGAAAAGACCCAGAAACGGCAGGGATGATGGAGCCAGCAGACAAGAATGTTAAAAACAGGGGGCGCCTGGGTGGCTCAGTCGTTAAGCGTCTGCCTTCGGCTCAGGTCATGATCCCGGGGTCCTGGGACCGAGCCCCGCGTCAGGCTCAGCGGGGAGCCTGCTTCTCCCTCT